ATTACCATAAATCTGCATATCAATAAGCAAGAACAGATGCCAGTTGTTACAAGTGCTTGCCAATCAGGTCTGTTAAAAAGTGACAGATGGGTGGTTGTGGAGCGTTCTCATAAGGCCTATTAGCACTTTCACAGGAAGTGTCTGTGTGCAGACTGCTGGAGACTCAGGGAAGAACACAGGGTCTTTGTGGGCCTAGGATGCACACTTCATGCTGGGAGCTGCTCCAAATAGAGCTTCTCAGACCTCCCACACATTGCTTTTGTAAATGTCCTCCATCCTCTCCAATTGTGACAGAAGTTCTTAGACAATCTTCTCAGGGAGTAGATTTCACATTGATAAAAAGAGATCTATTTTATTGTTTTAAGTAAATATTTATACTCTACAATTTTATTGTTACTTTAAAATTTAGACCAGATATTTTGGAAGGGAATTACTATTAACTTTACAGAAAATTAGAGTTAAAATGAAGCAGTTTCCCCCTATTCATCAACAGATAATTTCTATTCACCCATAGCTTCAATTCTCTATGTTTTATTTAATAACAATTCCTCATTCTAGAAGGAAACTCTCCTAACAAAGAGAAGCCTACTCCTTAATAAATTGGAATATTTTCGAGAATGAAAGGAGGCATTTTTCTGTTACTACCTCTGAATAGCTTCCTTTTTAGCAGTTTTGGGGCTTTATCTATCCATAGATTTTGGCCCATTAAGCCATTTGTGTAGGTGAATCATTTCAGCTTGTATTTATGCAAACATTCCTGAATTGGCTGCAGCAAATCAGGAATTTTTTTTTTTTTTTTGCGGGACTAGGATTAGAACTCAGGGCTTTGTGTTTGCAAAGCAGGTGCTCTACAGCTTGAGCCACACCTCCAGTCTATTTTGCTCTTGTTATTTTGGAGATGGGGACTCACAGACTGTTTTCCTGGGCTGGCCTTGAAACATGATCCTCTAGATCTCAGCCTCCCAGGTAGCTAGGATTATAGGCCTGAGCCACCGTCAACTGGCTTCAGAGCACTGTTTTATAGGCTTCCAGGCAACAGACTCTTCAGGTTTGGGATCAAGGCTGAACTGGACTTGAAATATGGATCCACTAGCTTAGTGACTATGGACAAGTTTATCAACCTTTCTTCTACACCTTAGTTGCCCACCTGTAAAATGTTTTCTAATCCATATTATGACTCTGACTGATGCTGTGGTCTCAAACAATTTATTTAACCATTTCATACTTTCATTTTTCCAACTGCAATATAGTAACAAAGTGGTGATTTTTATCCTTGGCATGCTGCAAGATTGTTACAAGGAGCTAGTTTAGATACAGACTTATGAAATACTATTCTTGTTTTTCCATCACAATGATCTTCTGAAGTATGATGGTTGTTATAAAGAAATTAAGGATACTTTTTCCTTAAAGAAAAATCCAGATTCTTAGCCCAAACTCAGACTCCAAGTTTTCAGATTTCAGACACTCATTGCACAAATGACTATAGTTGAGTGAAAAACAGACAAGCCTTTATTAGAGGTTTAAGAGAGAAAATAAAGTCAGTCAACGTGAAAGAGACACAAAAAATAGGCACAAAAAGATGCGGCTTATTAAGGTTTGGTTTGAAATCCATTTTCTGCTTTTAAACTCCATATTTAGTAAAGATTCCCTTTCACAGAAATCATAAAACACATTGGTAGTTATTTTTAGTTTGAAAGGAAAATGGAAAGATTTTCTGGGGAAAAAAGCAAAGCTGATGTCTCATTAGGTTTTATTGATACAACTACTTGGTAACTTGTCATCTAAAATTTCTGCTTCTTTTTTGGATTTATTTTATTTTCTCCTTAAACAAAAAAATGTTTTACTCATAAATGAACCACTTCAAGACTATAAATCTATAAACCTCAGTCTCCTAAAGGATAGACCATTATTATTATTTTTTTTCTCCAGATCTGGGGATTACATCCAGGTCCTCACACTTGTGCTCTATCAGTCAATCCATATCCCCAGGCCTTTCACTTTTGAGACAGGGTCTCACTAACTTTGCCTGGACAGGCCCCAAACTTGAGATCCTCCTACCTCCCTCCAAGTAGCTGGGATTGTAGACCTCTACCACTGTGCCTGGCTAGACCATTATGTTTGGAGCACTGTTTTGTTCATAGACAAATATTATTGGTTTCCAAAATATTTCACTATCTTTGGTGATAGTGTTCTAAGATGGACTACATAAATTTTATATGTGGAGCTTATTAACATGCCACTATAATACATAAAAATTACATATGAATTATTGTATATGTGCTTACTCTCACTATGTCAAAATAATCACTCAACAAACATTTTAATATTAGGAGGGGTTGGGGATAAACAACCTCTTGGATTCCTTCTATCTCATTATTATATGGCTTCCACTCTATTTATTACATATGATGTGCTCTATAAGATGTTTTATATTACATACTCCATCTCCAAATTCTCAACAACTCATTTGTGAAGACACTGACCTTAGTTTATATACTGTTTTTTGGCTTATGCATAAAGCTAAAGCCAAATTTCTTAGTTAAAAAATTGGATATTTAGCTTAAGTTCTATTGGGAATGGGATCTAAAATACAAATTTACATATGTCAATTTATAAATTTATTTATTCATACATTCAAGAATAGTAATGAGCACCTCTCAGAGGAGGAAGGGCTGAGTGTATCAGCCACTAACCATGTTCTCCTCGAGCTCACTGTGTGGCTTGGAGCACCAGAGTACAGAGTATTCTGACATACTCATAAAACAAAGAAATGGCTTTAGGAGAGAAGGCATCCCTCTCACATTTAAGGGAGTCAGGAAAGACTTCTGGGAAGTGAGCTATGTTACTAGTCTACCATGATCATTCCATAACGCTAGTGTAGATTAGTAGCCAGGACAAAAGTTAAGCCTTATTTTTGGGACAAGACAAAAAGAAGGGGAGCTCAAATAACTTTCCTTTATCAGGAAAAAAAAAATTATCCAAACCACAATGCTTCAAATACTTAAAAAGATGAGATGTGATTATCCATATAAATGAAGGGTGTATTTTTACAGAAATCACCAGGAGCCTTCACATCTACATTTTGAATACGCTAAACATGCAAGATGGATGTCAGACAATGAATTTGATTTCACAGCCAGTGCAGACTTAGTGTGCTGAATTTAACAGGTTAAAGGCTCAAGAAGTAGGCATTTTTGGAAAACTTAGAGCTTTGCAGAATGACTTTAAACTGGCCACGTGCTCCATGGCCCTCATAAAATGACTCCCAGACATCCTTAGTTTTCACATGAGCATACCAAGCATGTAAATGCTAATATCCCGACCTGTGGCTGACATGGCAGAGGTGCACACATTCTAATGAAAAATGACAGGCATTCTGTCCGCTCAGGAAGACACACTGGGCAGCAGCCTCAGGACTAGGTGACCCTCTCTGCATAATTCAACTGTGAGAATGAGAGAGCCTGAGGCATCCTTGGAGGAAAACCCTTAATTTTGGATATGGGTGTGTCTACACTATTAAGAAAAGAAACAAATCTCTCATTAGCTGAAAATATTATGAATCTTGGCATTTATTTTTGGAGCTTGCAATTGAAAAATTTTTTTCTTTTAAAACACAGAAACCCCCTTGTATATTTTATTAATCTCTCTCCAGTTCCCTTCACAGATTTGAAAATAAATTAAGTATTCAATGTGATTCTTAGCTCCAAGACCAGTATCCTAAACTGTATTCTTGAATATAATACAATAATTTAACTACTTATCATCTTGAGATATATATTTTTTAATGATCCAAAAACTGTGTTACAGAACAACCTGTCCATGCCAACAGATTTGAAACCCAACATATCATTCATCATTATAATTGTGGGCCAGTGGATACCATCAGACAAGGAGTTATTATTAGTCTGTGGACCACAGAGAAAGCTGGGCTAATGATCATAAAACACATATAGAGAGAAGCCTTATTGGCAGTCTTTTCAGATTTATTCAAAACGAAAACAAGGAAAAAAACCCAAAGATATGCATTTGGAAGAAAAGAAAGAAGTATGGGAAAAGAAGGGATTTTCCTAGTGACAGATAAAGTCTGGCTTTTATTCTGCACACTTAAGGTTCATTTCAGTGATTCACGATGTCCTTAATCAAATCGAACTATGCTTCACTCTAATATGCCGAAAATCTGTCCTTTTCCTTGCCCTCTCTCCCCTACACTTTCAGAACCAAACAAGGAAAAGCTTTCTATTGGTTCCTCCCAGCAGGTTAATGGGCACCTGTGTTCTGATTTCTTGCACATGCTGCCATCCCTGGCCCTGTGCTAAGGTGGGATATCAGCATGGGAGGAGGCACAGTAAGGCTGACCTTTCGCTAATCACTGCACCGCAGTGACTACTGGCCCAGCTCATTACGAAAAGGAATCCTTCAATAAACTGCCTTTCAAAGACAGTCACACTTTGATTTTCCTGAGAATAAAGATTATACTTTCACATAAAAGCTTCTGACACACAATTCTGTCAACTGGGGTACTAAAGTAAAAAAGGCACCTTGTTAATTGTCTGTCATTATCAAGGGACTACAAACTGTATCAAACATAGGCCTGCTATCTTGGCTTTCATTATGGAGGTCAGAACATTTTTATTGACTGCATATTATTAAAATTTTAGAGGGATGTCAATCATTTTGGCTGCACTGGAAATAGGAATCTTGTTGGAAATCCCCCAGTAATCAATCCCATTAAAACAACAACAGAAACCCACAAATGACTAGAGAATATACTATGCAAGAATTTGCAGTTCCTTCATTTCATAAGTGTCACACATGGGGAAAGCAGGTAGGAGAAATGCAAAGATAGGGGAAGCACTTTGGAGCAGTTGATTCCAATTTTAACACCTAAAACAGAAAGCTAGTTCATCTGGTAATTGCTCTTCTGCTTCCTCACTGTTGTCTGAGCCAGCCCCGAATTCAGATGATAGCGTGTGAAAGGAAAGGCATGATTCCTTACTCACCAGCCATTTGCTGAATGCCACTGAATGCACCCAGGTTGCTGGAGGAGGTGGCCTGCTGCAGAAGCTGCAAAGGAACAACATGTGCAAAGTCAGAACAATGTGGAGATGACAGCAAAGTAACTTCCTCATTAAATTGGGGACAAATTCAGCTTCCTTTACATTTATGTAGTTGGCTGTCACTGCCTTTTGATGGACAAAATGTCCCTAGAGTTAAGGCTGTAAATCTATATTAATGTCTACCCTCTACTAAGAAACAGACACTAGGGAAACTCACTAACACTGCTGCCTTAAAACAATTAATCAATTTACTCTTTTTTTTTAACCAGGTGTTAAGTCTATTGAAACCAACATAGTGTGACTAATTATATCTCTCTGTAGTCTAGTAGTTACCATAACTCATCTCTGTCAATCAAGGTCCATCCCTTCCTCTATTCTACCCTGCTTCACAGTTTTCTTTATCTTCCATCAGAAGCATAAGGATTCATTGACTCTCCGACCAACACAGGGATCATTATGATGACTCTACACATAATGTATCTATTCACAGTCATACAGTTATAGCCACAACCATATATGGCCAAGAAAATGGTCAGTCATTCTTAAGATGGTCTTCACAGGCAGAGAGAAACATATATATCAAAACATGCTATGTACATTGAAGCTATGTATTATGTTAGAATCTTTTAAAAAATTAATTAGTATGCCTGTGGAAAGTCTGTGTTTTCACCAATAGTTTTCAAAACCACATTCTTCCCTGCTATGTAGAATTAGTAGATGCCACAAGGCAAAGGCATGTGGCTCTAATTCCAAAGAGCTCCTGTTCTTGGTGCAACTTAGTTGAAATGTAGGTTAATTTAGATGCTACTCTAAGACTTTGACTAGATGAATGGGCATTCTTTTTGGTAAGACAGACTAACACAAATACAGTTTGTACATGGAGAAGCATATAATTATTTCCCATATTACAACATACATGGCTACCAAAACATATAAATTTACCAAATTTATTGTCAAAATGTTGTCATGACCCTGTGAGCTTAGGATAAGGTGAATTTACTATTTTAGAAACAGCTTTCAGAATGTTTTTGTGGCTGTGTAAAACATGAAGTAGAACACTGTTGTTCTTGTGGGTAAGTACAGGTCTCCTCAATTTAATGAAAACAACTCTAAAATTGAATCTAACTAGAAAAATTATGCTTTTACTGACATTAAAGCATCAAAAACAGTGACATATTCGTGACTGATTAAACCTAAATTTCAGCTACAATAGTATCATGAGCCTTAGTATTTATAAACACTAAGAAAATGTCAGTTATGTTCACTCATCCCTCTCAGCTTCTTAGAATATATTACGTAGTTATTCTGTGCATGCGCATACATAGGCTGTCACACACAGAGGTAAAACAGTGAGGAAGAGGCATGGGAAAACCTAGGGATTATCCATTTTAATACAGAAACACCTTATTTTGTTATGTTTTGTTGAATTTCCCATTCTCTTGTGCTTACAAGGTATAGCCCTCTCTTCACATTATGTATTTTTAAAAGCTAAAATCATAAAATTAGTTTTGAAGATATTTGAGGAATTAATAACACCTGTTGAGACAGGTGTAAATATTTGGAGTATTATGAAACCATCACCAAGGATTATTTACATGGATAACCAATCTTTTGTGAGACAGGCTCTGAATGCATGGCTCAACACAGAGATAGGGAATGCCTTAATGGTCAAGAGCCCTTTCAGAGAAAGGACTTGTAGGTACAAGGGGCAGAACAAACGTGTTTCAGAAAGAACTGATGTCCAGAAGAGGAGAAAAACCTAGTAAAATTTTTGTAAGTGAGGCTGAGATTAATTCATTCTTTCAGGTACTGAGATAATTTGCAGATGTGGTAAGAGAAACATACACCAGAGATTTCTGTGGACTGTACAGTATAAGAGATGTGCAGAATTCTGAGGCACAGGTGTCTTGGTTCTAAGAGTAAAGTGAAGCAGGAAGCTGAACTCTTACTAAGTGTGAAAAGGTGAGCATAATGTCAATCTGATACATATAATAAAACTGAGAAAGTCTATAAATACTTGAACAGCACTAATTTGTGATGAACATATTGTTAAGCTATTTTTTTTTTTTTAGCAATACTGCTGTTTAAACTCAAGGTCTCATACTTGCTAGGCAGGCGCTCTACCACTTTAGCCACACCTCCAGCCCTTTTTGCTCCGGTTATTTTGGAGATAGGGTCTTGCTTTTTACTTGGCCTGGCCTGGAACCACAATCCTTCCCATCTCAGCATCTCACATAGCTTGGATGACAGGCATGAGCCACTGGCTCTTGGCTTCATTTCTTTCTTTAAACAAAATTTCTAGATAGATAGACCAGGAAAAAGATATGGCAGAGTATATACAGATTTTGCAAGATATTTGACAAAATCTCTCATGGTATCATAAGGGTAACATGGAGAAATGGCTAGAATGTGACAGTAAACTTGATCAAAGCATGGGTTAATAACTCAGAAGGAAACAGGAAAAGCACGTTTTTTCACTCATTGACCAACTCTGTATTTAAAAGCTATTACATGCAGATCCCTGCTGGGTACTGGAGGTGGGCTGGGTATGGAGAGGAAGGTGGTCCAGATCTCACTCAGAGAGTCCTCAAGAAGCAACACAGCAAAGGGGCGAGAACACGCACCACCGAAATCTTATGGCCACTAGCAGCAGTGTGATCTTAGGTAAAAGTAATTAACCTTTTGAAGCCCCCCTTTTCTCATGTGTACATTAAGCAGGATAATCTCACCTTTCAAGGAAATAGGGACGGCTGCCTTAAAAACAGTACAGTTTTTGCTACAAGTGAAGCTAATGGATTATTTAATCCTGAGAAGGATAGTTCAATGTAAAATGACAGAATTGGGACACAGTGTGCACGTGTGTACACTCACTCACTCTTAGGCTGGCATAAGAGGCCCAACCTCAATGCGGGCAGAGAAGCATGGTTTAGCAGTAGTTCAAGTAAAAATAAAAACAGCATTGTTCACTGCTCCTATGTCACATTAGAATGGTTACTACAAATGCCACTCTCAAGCTACAAAGATACCTGAAAGGCCACCCTAAGAGTCACTACTCTGTCCTTATTAGATCTTATTAAAAGAGCTGTCTTAAATTCTGTCCTCTGTTTTTCAATAAAGACGTTAACAAAGTGAGATAAAAACACAAAGGAAATGCAAGAAAGCCAATGCTTGGAAACCATGAAATCTAAAGGATGGCTCAAAGAACTGGGTCTGTTTGGCCTGAAATAGGACCTAATAACTTTGGTTTCACATGAAGTAAGGAGTATTTGATTTCATCAACACAGTGCATTTCCACCAGGAAGACCTAGGATGACAAACTCAAACTTCTAGGAAATTGCAGCTGAGGTCTTGACAGGGCACCTAGCAACTTGCCAGCTAGTAAGTTCTCAGCCAGCTGCCTCAGAATCATTAGATAACCAGCTATCAAGAATCTCTTACATAACCCAGGCTTTGAAACACTGGTTACAAGTTTAGCATATGGGACTTTGCTCAGCCTATATCAGGTTGGAATTAAAATTAGGCAAAAGTCATATGCTAATCAATTTAACCTGGAAAAATCTTTTGTATAAATCCTGATTTCAATAATTCCTGAGACTCAAAATGTATGGAAAATGTATACTTAAAAAGTAGCTTTTGGGAGTTTCTGGGTTGTGTTCCTCTCCTTCACGGGGACCATACTTGACCAACTTTCTCCCGCACTTACCGCCAGGTACTGTGGGGTAAGTCCGCCAAGCCCTGTCAGGTTCCCCCAGGTGGCAGTGTTGAGCTGTTGCATCTGCTGTGCAAGCTGCTGTTGGAGGCGCCTTTGCTCTTTGTCCTTCTGAGTGTCAGCAAACTTCACCACAATAGGTGAAGAGCAGCCCTGTGGTTAGACACATTGGAAAGTGAAGAGGAAGTTACAGCCTGGTTGAACCCTTTCACGATAGTCAGCATTGGATCTATCTTTCTTAACTATCTTGGAGCATGGAATGGTCTGGAATGATTTAAAAGTGGTTTGATATTCCTTCTTCTCTTTGCATGGTACCATCAACAGAAAATTCCAGATAGTGGCATTGATTTCTTTGGGGGACTGGTAGTTGGTGAAGCCATTTGTTTTTTTTGCTCTAATTATATTAAACTGCCTCTCCTTCTCTCCTCATGTGTGTTCCTTCAGCTTTCCAGGCCTTTCTTTGAGACAAAGACCTTATCTTTAATTAAGCTTCACAGTTCACTTGCCTTAAAGATAGTCTTCTCTTTTGTATGTCTGCATATTTCCACATATTAGCAGAGTACAAAGCCAGGGAGAAACTGCAATGGGAACGAAAATGTCTCATCCATTCATTTTTATTGTTTATTCTTTCCAAGTTCTGGGATTACAGGTATATACAACCACATCAGGCTCAGTTATATATTACTGAACACTGGAACTACGGGAATAATTTGATCCTAAAATAATAGGGAGAATGGGTTTCATTTTAGGAACATGGATGAAGGATGGAGATATTCGGAAAACATAGGCACTGACAAAAGTTGACTGTTCACATGTTTTCAGAAAGGTCTCTCTTCTTCCTTCCATGTTATATCTATTCTAACCCAAATCCCTACAGCAAACCAAAAAAGCCCACATTCTAGTCAGAAATACAGTTTAAATAGCAGAAGGAGGATTCTACTTGGTTACTCTCCCTAATAAATCTAACCATTCTAGCAGCTTCTTTCATTTGAATTTCCTTTAAAAGGCAAGGAGTAAGAATGGTGAGAAAGAAATGGTTCAAATTCATATGGATGCATTCATTTTTGAGGTAGATACAATCTTCAGGGATAATAACCAGCTAATACCTCAAACACCATCCTCCTTTCCAAAGTACCTATGAAAGGTCTGCCACTTGGTAGGAACTCAGCAGGTACATACCCTCCTGACCCCCCTTTTCTCCTAGGTATGGCTTGGCTCCACAGTCCATCACCAGTGAAGCTGTTATATGTTGCTGAGGTAAAAAGAAGCACTTCCACCCATGTGATTAAATAAAAACTTCTGTTGAAACTCAGGATGATAATACACCACTCTTCTGTTCTCTCAGAAATGCTATACTGCTATTTAAATGACTTTCTCTTTTCATTTCCTTTGAGCCATTTTCCTTTCTTCTAAAAAACAAACTTGCATTTTTCTTTATCACGTGGGTGCTTACTGAGGATGCAGCATGAGGCCATTAGGTCTGCTATTTTAAGAGTAAGAAAGGTAAGGTGACCATTTTGGTGGTGGCAGAACTTTCAGTCTATGAATCTTCAGCTTTGGCAGGGCAGAGTCACTGTACAGAATGCTACATGTCAGTGAACTGCGTAAAAATAATGTTCTGTCATTAAAAGATTCTCTAGTTCAGTTTTCTTTATCTGCTCTGTATTTCACTTTATCATTTTTTTTGAAAGAGAGCAAAATAGTGTGAAGATGGAAATTGTGGAGAGGGGCTTTGCATGGAAAAGGGTCGCTACTGCTGGCATCAAGTGCACCCATGACAAATGACAGCAGCTCCGCCTAAAAGACATTTACTTGCTTTTTCTTCCTTAAATACTAAAAGAGACATAAAGGCAGAAAATTAGATCAATGAGACGGCTTTAAAAATGGCTAATTTATATCACAAAAGAGAAAAACAAGTAGGCTGAGTGTGGAGGACAGTAGGGAAATAGAAAATACAATATAAAATTGTTTTAAAGGTTTATTCTTCTAATATTCACATCAATTAAAATTAGATACTACATCTCAGTTAAAGATAAGTGCCAGAGTCTTGAAAATAGTGTAATTAGTTAAAAAAACCCAACAACTTGAGTTGTATAATTATAATGTAACTGCATAATATATAATCTTCTGTTTAAATGTCAATTTAAAAAATTAAACTGTCTGAGAACCCCTCTGCTTAAGTGTGGATGTCCAGTTGTTAAAACAATTATACCAAGTTTGACTTTCTCATAATAGAGATATTAATAATAAAGGGTCAAGAATTTCCTCAGAATTAGTAAACTCCATCCCTCTAACCCTTTCTTTCCATTATGAAAGCCTCATGTTTCTTAGTTTTGGTTCATGCCCAGTTCTGCCTTATATCTCCAGCACTTCCTTGTTACATAGGAGACCCAGACTCCTCCAACATTCTCTCTGTCCCCACTTGGGGACTCTTCAGTGAAGGGAACGCTACATTTGTAACAGGGCTGGAAGAATTTACGTTATAAAGTTATCTAAAAGAAGACTAATTTGGATATAAATACCTTGATTATAGGAAACGGAAATAATTAAGAATGAAACGCATATATGGCAGAGACAAATTCTGGTAAAGACTGTTTTTCCCTAATGGCACTTTCATTTTAATCTCCAAGCTGAAAAACAGCTGGAAATTCACAGTAACAGAGTAGCCTTAGAGAAAAAGGGAGCCAAAACTTTATCATACATGTGATTGCATGTTATACAAGACTGAATTCCTAGATATGTTAAATCCTGCTGATTATTTCCTATCATGGCTGATTTTCACCTGAGCGTGCCTTCAGGTAGGGGGTGGGATTGTCTTAAAAATGCATTGCACTGAAAGGAAAACACATTGATTATATAATATATGATAGGAATATCAAAGTCAAAATGAATATTCAAAAAAGACAATAGGCTTTGCAATGCTGATGTCACAATTCAGAAAAGTACAGTAAACACTTAATGACAATGCCATGCACACTCCTTTCCCTCCCTTCCACCCACCTCCTGATTCATTATAAAAAAGTTGCCACAGAACATGACGCATAATGATCACTTAGCTCCCAGCATGCTTTGGGAGATGCAGCATTGCAAAAAACAAAAACAAACAAACAAACAAAAAAACCCAACAAACCAAACAAACAAAAAAAATAAAACCCCAACAAAAAGGGGTCAAAAAGAAGCTCAAACAGTATATTTTTGCACATTAAATAAAACTGAAACTATCTTTTTTCCCAAATATGAAAACATAGTTTTAGATAACACCACAAGGCCACCACCTCCAGAGATCACCCATACACAAAGATACAGTGTACATAATACAGCAGCACATGCACTCCCAATTGATTCTATCAGACGATACAGAGTAAGTAATGGCGTATCAGTTTTGGAATATTTTTGTGCAAAATTCTGAAGGCCATGACCCAAATCACAGACTAAAAGTATAAAGCCACCTATCTACACTTGTAGGTGTATATCCACACCAGTGTATTTACCTTTCCCTCAAGTCACTATCTCTCATGAGGAGACAAGATTTGAGCCGTTATGTTTCTTTGTTATTGCTCATTTTTAAGTAAGGAAACAAATCTAGTTTTTCAGGGGACTCTCATATAAATTAGCATCTCACTGTTATGTAAGCGAAGTATTAACTTTCTTCAATGTTTTTGACATGCAAAACCACCATTCTGTTTAACTAGATTTCAGATAACTTCACCCTGTATTAAGAAAAGAACTTTGTGACTCAGTATAGGGCAAACAGCAATTTGGGGTTAGGGCTCTTAGGACTTAATCCATACTAACCCTGTTGTAGGGAATGTATTTAATTCTTTCGGTCCAGAATGACACTTTGTTTAAAGTGCCTAATGACTTTATATCACAGGACCTGTGCCACTATGAAAAAAGGCTCAAAAGATAACTGTAGAGCAAGTAGAAAGTTTCACTAAATACATTTTAAGTCATTAAGGAGAAAATGCAGGGGGGTGGGCAGTGAGAGAGGGAGGAAGAAGAGGAGGGAAGGAATGGGGGATGGGAGAGGAGTGGGGAGGGAGAGAAAGAATATGAATATGAATGAATGAGAGCAAGATGGTGAAAGTTTAAATCTGTGATTGTCATGTGAACAATCCACACAGGAGAGAATTGCTTTACCATTCCCCATCATTTGCACAAAGAAAACAAAGAAAGGGCAGATGATACAGTACCTCCATGGTCTGAGACTGATGCATGGCTTTGATTGCATTCTGTGCCATTGCCCTTGTAGAAAATGTGACAAACGCACAGCCTGTGGGAAACAAGGGGACAGGGAGCAGGAAAGACAAAAAACAACAAGACAAAAGGGTTGGACGCTTGTTAAACCAACACAGTCTACGAGAACTGCCACAAGACGACACTGTTCTCAGTAGTACATAAAAATAAACAACTTCTCTCTTTGGTTTTATCTTATTTTGCTGTTTATTCACAGTGCTGACTTGCTAATCTGACCAAAGCAGAAAGATTTATTTATTTATTTTTTAATGGAAACTGTGGGAAGAAGTTGGTTACTTTTTGTAGCCACAGGGTTTGAAATTAGCAAGATCTAGTTTGCATTTTTTAAAATAAAAAGCTGCTATTTTCCATTTTCTCCTTGGCGGATGATTTTTACATTGAGGGCATCCACACATCAGGGTTTTATATTTCAAATTTCACTGTTTATTTTTAAGAAATAAATAAGAAAATCTTCACACCAAGGGCAAATTAGCAAATAAATCTCAAGAGCTCAAAATGTCAGCAAATAAACATCTGGAAAGTTAAAAAAAAAAAAAACTTTATGTATAAAATATAAATTGATGCTATTCAAGTGTAAACAAATATGCAAAATCCATTACAAGATATTTAGTAATTAATTATTTACAAAAACAAATACTCTATTTATTTACTCTAAGAATATTCAACAGTACGTATAAAGAAAATTTGAAAATTTGCCTTGGATTTATAGGTATAAAAATCTTCACAGCTTTTGAAAGTTGTGACTTTCTGAAACATTGTGAGATCTAATATAAAGTTTAACATACACAAGACAATGTACATTTCTCTGAACACTGACTGTGAGAATTGTAAAGCTTTCCATGTTTATTTTTTCTAGTGCTGTAAAATAACCAGAATCTATAATGCTGGTTCCTGCTTCTTGTAGCAGCATTGGCCACCATGCAGGTCACCGCTCCAACTACACGGCTCATTGCCCTTTGCACTAATGAAAACACTGCCTTCTAAAATCTACATTTTATTCATCACGCACCCTTGGGCTTCTCAGAGAAAAAGACTGTGAAATTAATGCAGGTCCAGGCTGATTTTATGATAGTACCACACAGCACACTAAAAGCTATATAAAGCAATAGGGACTTAGCTCACTTATGATCTCTAATGACTTTAGAAGAACATTGATTTTCAGCTTCTTTAGCCTTGCACAGTTTGAACTTAGGTATCAAAGAATAATTTAGTGTTCCACTCAATTTCCTCAAAACATTATTATTATTACTACTTAAAAGATTTCCAAATGAAGCAGATCTAAACACTGAGCGGCAGAAGCCTACTGTCATTTCAAAACAAATGCATGAAAGTGGAATTCTGGCATCAACAATATGAGACTGTTGTCCCTGTGGCCAATGAGCAAAATAGAACATTCTACATCCAAACAACCAGCAGATTGTTTGGTTTATGTAAATCAATTTGTGAGCCATAAAATATATTCCTTCTTTATCTCTGTGTGTGTACCTGGTGAGATTATCAAGTCAATACTGCCATAGCACCTTTTAATTAAACCACAATAAGAGAAAGCAGTGCCTGCCAGCTACCCCCAACACACAATGACATCCAGTTATGAAAATAAGTCAATGCATTTTTTTCTTTTTGCATCATGCTATAATTTCTAAAATACAAAAACTCTCAGTACATGGGAAATTCATCTAATATTCAACTCTTGGCTAAGCTGGCCTTAAGAATTCCTGTTGGAATGAACTCTCGCTTGCCATGAATGCTGAGCTGTTTTATGTAGTTCTCTGACAGGACAGCAGCTGATGAAGCTTACTATTTAAACATGCTGTCTGTACCTAGAATGACTGCAGCTTTTGTCACCAATGAAAGCAATTTAGTGGCCTTCTCTATGGCATCTAGACAATGTGTGTAATAGAGTGTGAGAGAGATGACAATACCTCTATTGGCTTCCATATTGATGCGGAGGTATAAAATTATAGTCTCAGATTTACCATCTGTTTCAATGTAAAATCTCTTCAAAAGTGTTATGATCATCACCAACATTATATGGAAGAAATATTAATAAATTTTTATTTTTCTACTTCTTGCCTTGAGACTATAATGGAGGCAAAAGCAACTCATCTGATAGAGATATATTTGAAAGCAGGTGAAGCCCAGACTAATTCTACTTTTAATAGTCAAGAAGATGATTACATTCATTTCATTTGCTCTTATTATCCAGGAACATGTACAAACTGTCAGTTTCCAAATGCAGGTTAAAAATGCATTTAAAGACATGTAAAATGTCAACAAGAATCCAAAAGGCACAGTTTATGCATTCACTACAATTTCATAAAAGCAGAACTTTTGTAAGTAACTTAGTGAGAAAGATGAAGCAATTAGCAGGCTCCAGAATTAAAGTATTAGCAAAAGAACAATAAAATTAAATCTTCATAACTTGAACCATTGCCCTTTCCTCTAAGAAATCTGCAATTAAATACTCAACTGATGCTTCTAATTTTATAATCCTTACCCCATCCAAAAATGATCTGACAAATATGATGACTTCTTTAACCTTTTTATTCTATTGGCAGTAGTGCAGTAAGAGAGAAGATGTCTCCTTAGGGGCTTCTGTCAAGTTCTGTATTGTGTGCTGTGTTCAATTACTTAAGGAAAAAAAGTACTGTGTCATTTATAAAGTGGGAATACATGTTGAAAAATTTCACTCTGTGCCACTGTGGATGAAGTTGAGCAACTTAAGAACCAAATGTTTCTTGGGATAGTAGCTTGTTAACCTTTGTAATTTCTTTTAAGCAGGAAGTCATGGCAGTCCTATTTTTAATTTTCTTTCCAGTATCACTGAAAACAAAGTGGTAGTTTCAAGATTAGGCGTCCAATATGTGTTTCTTTACTAACAAAGGATCACATGAGCTCCTATCATTAAAACTGGTTGTTGGCTTTTTCTCACAAGTCAACTCTAAGACTTTCCATTGTATAGAAATAATTTAGATCATAGTTGGTCTCATACTATGACCTGCATGCAGTGGAGTTCACTGAGTCTTGACAAGATAACATCTCTGATCTTGTTGAATCAGCCCTTAATCATTTAGAACTATTGAATATGTTGTCTCAGTGATCAGTCCTTTGGCAACTGACCAAAATTCTAGAGAAATTAAGACTGGTGAAAAGAGACATAGGTATCAAAAGAATGAAGCCACATTTCCTTCTTTTATTCTGGTGTAGATATGATAGCATGTGTGTGTATATTAAGGTCTTAAAACTCCAAATATATAGTAGCAAAGTAAGATCCCTCTGTAAGTGTGGCCCACTTGTAATTTATCTTGCAATTATTTATCATGTCCATTTTCAGAATGCCAGAGATTACTAAGAGAAATGAAAAGAGTTGAATCCCTCTTATTTTGGGTGAGGTTGCCTTCTTGCTGCTAAAACAGATGATTGACTGGGGAAAGGTTTTACAAGGTAATTTCCTCCTACAGACAGGATCTAAGGAAAGCACGTAGCCTTGTCACAGAGAAGATTTTGGAACACATCTATTACACTTGTCATTTCAATTGAAAGGATATCTTAACTCAGGTACTGTACCTTTTCTCTTAGCTGCAAGGGAATTTTACAAAACTAGATGAATTCTTGTGTTCCCCCATGTCCCAGAAAAAAAGAAGCGGTACTTTCAACAGCATGAACAATGCCAGGGCCTCTTGCTTTTGTTTCTTCTCTGAAAGAGGTATAGTAGTCTACTATATTTCAACTTAATGAAGCATAATTTAAAATAACTGTAGTACAAAGGAGATTTGAACCCATGAAACAGATATTAATGCAACGGATTTTTCTGGCTGTATTTTTTCAGCAGTGGCAGGATTGATAAAACACATGGTACCAGTATAGTATTAGGGCATAAAAATTAGCCTATATAACCATAACCAGTGGGTTAGTTTACTGAGAACTGGCAATGAGACATCATTCATTTATGGTACTTGAGATTGGGTGAAAAGTAGGATTTACTTAATAGCTGGCAAAATCTCATTGCTGAGATGGGACTGGAAGATTGTACTCAGAACAAGATAGCAAAATATAGTCAATAATCTAGGGGGCATGTGATAGAAGTTCCTACTATCTGATTTTAAGTATTATATTGGCAGGGCTAAAAATGAGATAAAACTGAGTCTTTTCCATGTATATGTTTGAGTAGTCAAAAGTCCTATTATAATATCTTGATTAGATACAACAAAAATAAATGAGAATTTAATGACTAAACCCAGTCTGTGCTCTCCAATATCCCTGAAAATATTGCCAATTCATTTGTCCAGGGTTTTGGCAGGGGAATGTTGGAACACCATAAACACAGCTGGAAAATTCTTACATAAGCAGAAAGTTACCTTAAATGGTAGTAAAGATGTGACTACAGTTTGTGGGAAAGAAAAATAAAACAAAGTTCTTCACTGTCTCCAAGTTATATTCAATTGCCATGGTGTGGAAAACCCTGTAAGTTGTACTTACCCAGCCTATTCTGACAGAATAATTATGGTTTCAGTGAGAACATGTATATTTAAGAAATCAACATGTTAAGGTGACAATGTCAAATAAATACATATTTGCTTTTGAGAGCAAATATCTCATGTGAATTGCCACTTGTGGGCCTGCTTGTTTTCTCAATGCAGGTTCCTGCAAGGGCCTCAAGAAGTGGAACGGTCATTCAGAATGGCCTGAATATCTCAAAGCTGCTTGAAAGCTTTGGAAACCATACTTTCCAAAATAGGAAAGATAGCAGAATGGGTTACTGTCCACAAATGGGGAATGCATCCTTAGACACAGGCATACTGCTCAATATAAGGAAGAGTCTGAATATTTGCTGAGTAGCTTCATGTGCTTGGCTGGTGCTACTTGCTTTCCACATAGAAAATTATGATAACTTCTTGAGGATGCCTGTTCTGGAAAATGGGCTGGTGCTGGGACTGACAGGATTTGTAAAATATTCTCTCTGTCTGATATGTAGATCATGATTATTTTTTTAAAGACAATGACTCTAACTGAAAATATAGGTACTGCTGTGCTTCCTGACATCTCACTATGTTCATGCATAGTTGAGTCAACAAGCCTGAGAAACCTCAGTGGAATGCCTATTAAGGAGGACTTGAAACTACTGATGTGGCAGAGATGAAATAACATTGGAAACTGTGGGGGTGCCAGCTAGAATAAATGCCTTTTTGTCTTTATACTTACAGCTGAACTGAATAAAAGCAGGGAAAGAAAATCACTCAACTGCATCTTACCAACCTAATCAAATTGTTTGACTAATAACCTCTCCTTCTGAATAGTTTATACCCTGGTTTTATATCAGGAGGTACATTTCAGAGAAGTCAAGCTGTCATTTTGCTTAATTTTTATTTATTTATTTTCTAAACAGCTGAGCCAGCAATAGACATTGAGAAAAGAAATGCTGAGTACCCTTTGTCTGCAGTGCACTAATGGGAGACACTTATTAATATTTGATTGAAACCTGCAATTCTTTAACAAGAGAAAAATGGTAGCATGAAAGAGAATTTTTTTTAAAAACAAATACACTGATTTAGAAGTAAGTCTCTGTAGCCAGGAGTCCCTGGGTCCTGCTAATTGAAAAACGCACCGCTGTCTGTCTTTATATTTTGGAACGAATGGTTATAAATGAGTGTTTTCTTTTTTCCAATAGGGAATGCTCATCAGTTCACCAGAAATTACTTTTCTGTTAAAAAAGGGAGAGGGTATTCTCCTCTTCACACTGAGCCATCATTTGCGTAAAATATTGATGAGAGGTCTCCCAGAACTTGTTTCAGAAACAGGCTGCTTCTGGTGTCAAGTGCTGGTTAATCAACCAAATGGCAGATCAAATTAGCTAAGTTCTCTTTTTTAAGTACCATGTGTCCTGCTCTTTCACATGAAAGTTGTGGTACTTTAAAATCTTATGTGCAGAAATAACTAATGCATGCTTAAGGAGCTCTAAATGCTATTTGTTCTTGTCCTTCATGGACACACAAAGACAGTGAAATAGAGTCATTTCATAAATGGGTCAACCTACATAAGGAGGGAGCAGAAATCTAGCATTCACATTTCACATTCAAGGTATCTACCAACCTAGATAGATAGTAAGCTTAGACAAAAAGCAACCACACTGGTTATTAATGGTGCCCTAGGAGAGGGACAGGGAAGATATTTTCACTGCTATCAATTACAATCAGGGAAACTGAGGGATAGAGATAGAAAATTTAATTGGTCATATCTCACGTCAAAGAAGTTTTGGTACTAGAACTTAGGGTTACTGGTCTCTAAGCCACTATAAATTTCACTATGATTAATTTAAGTGCCTTCTTCATGGCACTTGTACCTTGGGGAATGACAAGTACAATGATAATACTGAAGTGGTCCTGAGAACAACATCTGGACAGAGTGGGAATCTGAATCAAATTGGCAACAGAAAAGGGATTATAGAAAGACAATCATGTCTTTCCTACATGCTTTATTCTTTGTTAACCACACTACCTTTTTCCATGGTATTCTCTCTCCTAGTTTGTCTACCCAAGTGGATGGATGGAGATATACAAATAAAACACTGCAGTAGAATCAGATGGTCAGGTGGGACTAGAAGTTCCCATGGTTGAACTGGCTAGGATGGCTCTCCTGGTTTCCTTCTGCCTGTGAGGTTGTACACAAGCCAGAGGTTGTGCCATCCATCACAGTGATGGATTATTTGATTGACAGTAATGGCAGCACAGGTGATAAGCTACAGATGAGCCTCAGGTACTGGATCTGTTGTTTGGGGATCACCCTCAGTATCTTGTACAGCTTTTACAGAGTCAAGTCTTTGAAGTGAGGGTTAAATAAACAGCATTTCAGAATTGTTAGAAAATGCATAAACTGTAATTTCCATGCTTCCCTCCTTCCCCTCCACCACCCCTTTAAACCACCTTTGGAAGAAAATACAGGAACTATTCTATTGCCCAGTTTTCCTCCAGACCACTTCTATTTTGGGGCTCTGGAGATGGATGGAGGTAGAACTTTTTATTCTCTGGGCTTTTAATTTTAGCAGCTGACACTGCAAGGCTTTATGTCTAAAACTAAAAATAAAACAAACAAACAAATATTCTTCCTCACATGGTGCTGAAGTTAGGTAAAACTAGTCAGACAGGTGAAAGTAAGCTCCTGGATAGCTATAGTCAGACTTTTTCTTTCAGAATGTGGCTTGGGTGCCAGTGCTGGCCGAAAACCAGTGCTTATGAATGAACAAAGTTTCCAATTAGCCCCATGGAAACTATGCTGGTAATTTCACGAATAGAAAAATTAAAACCTCTTTCTGTTGCAAAAATATACTTCCTATAAGAACTGACATATATATGTTTTACATATATATTTTTCTACTTCAGACTGGCTCAGGAAACCACAGTCAGACAACTGTTAACCCTCATTGCCAACCTTCATGAGTACTTTAAGGAAAGAGGTATGTGGTCTTAAGGGGGAGGCAAATGTGGAGGAAAAAGGGTGATTTCCCAGTATTTCACATGGCTGCTTGCAAAAATATAGGTCTTCATCACTGCTCTGAGCCACAGCTTTCACTTCTATGATGATGGCAAAACAAGAGTCTACAATCTTCTTCAAGATAAAGTCATATTTCTGTAACTTGAAGGACTCTAGTCTAGGGACTGGAGGAGTTTTACTCTTTGAAATGCAACTCTAAGACTCTAGACAGGCCCAGTTACCCTATCTGCTCTGTACTGTACATGAGCAGTGCCATTCTTTCTTGACTTGGATCACTGTTAAGAGGAACAAACCCTAATGTTTCCTTCAGGCACAAGCAGAAAGCCAGAAGACTAAAGTGAAACCAACACATATCTGTTCTCATTTTCCACTTTTCCTCCTCACTCTCCAAAATTTGTTTCAATATGAGGTTGAAAAGGGATGTGTAGCAATAGGGCAGTCTGTCAGCCTCCCATGTGATAGTGATAACCTGAGCTAATATGCTGGCACTCAGACCTTCCCAACCTGAGAAATAAGAGGTGATCACTTCAGCTACAGTGAAAAGTTCAAGTTGGACAACTTCATCACATGGGATATAGTATAAGGTGACCTCCTGCTGTGTGTGTTATGTACATCTACCTTGACTGTGACACAGAGTTCCAATTAGCACTTAAGGAAAGAGACTTTACAGACAGCACACTCACCTCGACTCAGCCCGTCAGGTCCCCGGAGAATCCGGCATTCTTCTATCTGGCCAAACGGAGAAAACATCACTCTGATATCATTCTCATTACATTTCTTTGAGACCATTCCTATGAACAATTTTCTGTCTTCCACAGCTAGGAGATAAAAATAATGAATGAGCAAAGGCTATCTCATCTATTTTCTTATAATCAGTGTTTCATAACTACATCAAACCAGGTCCTGCTAGGTGAGTCTGAACAGTCCTAAGACTAACTCTAGACCTCCAGTCTGTCCCTCCTCCTGCACAGCCCATCCTGTCTCTCCTTTCACCTTGCCTTTCAAGAGTGCTTCATTTCACTGAGATCTTATTCTTACTAACATGATGTCTTCGTTAGATACAGAACACCATAAAGTCCCTTTTCTCCCCATTCAGAAATCCACAGGGGGCTGGGTGCAGTGGCTCACATCTATAATCCAAGTTACTTGGGAAGTGGAGTTTGGGAGGATTGTGGTTCGAGAACAGCCTGAGTTAAGGGTTAGTGAGGCTCCCATCTCAACAACCAAGCTGGATGTGGTGCTGACCACCTGTAATCCTAGCTAGGTGGGAGGCACAGGCTGGAAGACTGCAGTCCGAGGCTGACTTGGGCAAAAGTGAGACCCTATCTGAAACAGAACTAATGCAAAAAGGGTTGGGAGCATGGCTAGAGTGCCTGCCTAGCAAGTGTGTGAGGTCCTGAGTTCAAACCCCAGTACTGCCAAAAACAAAAATTAAAGAAGACATTGATGGTAAGGTGTTTATGTTTACTGAGTTCTTAAAGTATTATGCATTTGCTTAACACTACTATTTTACAGAGACATTTTGATTAGGCAGGCACTCATCTCAATTTTTTTTGGCAACACTGGGGTTTGGACTCAGAGCTTCATGCTTGCTAGGAAGGTGCTCTTCTTGCTTGAGCTATTCTGCCAGACCAAAAGACATTTTTGGATACAGATTTTAACTTAGGTTTTTTTTTTTTTTTTTGGCAGATGTTCTTTTAACTCTGATGTTATGAAAAGAGAAGGGTCAGGGGGTAAAATAAGAGGAGCAGATGTAGTGAAACACTAAATGGAACATCTAACAAAATAGCCAAGGGAATTAGTCCCCACTGATTTAGACAAGAGTAAGAGATCAGTGAGTCTCATTTCTCTGAAGAGCCAGGAAAGTCCCTCCTTGGCAATGGCTGTGCAGCCCTGACCAGGTTTGGCTCCTGATTCTGACCAGCCAGGCTGGTTCCAATTGATGCAGAAGTCAACTGCAGCAAAGGGAAGCAAGGCTGCTGTTACTTGAGATCACTCTGCTGGGGTTAAACCCTTCAGAAAGTAAGAGTTAGAAAGGAGCTGTTCTATTCCAATTATTGAGGGACAGAGATGCACTTTGGTAACATGACAAGATGTGCAAATTGTAATCTGACGGGGAGATAAAGCAAGTTTTACTTTAGATGATCTGGGAGATTTCCCTTTGTGCTCAGGATATGTGGCCTACATTTAGCCTGACAGGTAAGATTATAACTGATTTCAAGACAGTGCTTGGAGCCTTTTTTTTTTTTTTTAGGAGAAAAGACCCTTTTTTAGATGCCATAGATGCTTGTGGGGAGAGGACCTGCTTTTTTTCCCATCACCTAGTTTCAATCCATTTCTTAGAATCAAAAAGAAAAAAAGATAGCCAGCTTTCCTGGAGACTACAGAGAATCCTGGCTTAAGGCAAAGCTCTGTCATGGTCACTGTGTGTAAATCTTTGTTCTGAACCTGTACTGTAACCTTGTCATTGTGATTGAATTGGCTTTTATTTCTCCTTCTTTTAGTCCTTGCTTGAATAGTAAGTGTCTCATTTTCTTTTAACCAACAATTATTTATTCTAGACTTACTGGAGGCAGCTGCTTCTGGAACCTAAGTTAAAATATGTGGTCTGCGCTCTCCAGGAGCTAGGGAAGATCTGTTCATGAAGCAGGTGATGTGACTCACAGGTCACTTTGAAGCAGCACTGTCCAGCAGAACTCTCCCTAGTGACAGAGAAGTTCCATGACTATGTTGTTCAATATGTAGCTAAAGACATGTGTAGCTACAGAGCACTAAAAAAGGGCTAGTGTGACTGAGGGACTGTTTTTTTTTAATGTTGTTTCATTTTAGTTAATTTAAAATTTAAAAGCCATGTAACTACTATAGTGGGCAGTGAAGTTTTGAAAAGCCTACATGTGACAGCTAGATGTTCTTTGCCATAGAATTCTGGACTATAAATAGGGACTTGAGGTATGTTTTGCCTAGCTCTAAAACAAATCCATGAGGACTTGAAAGGGGGTAAGGGATTTGCCTAAGGGGGTCATTCAGCAAGTATGTGATCTAACCTGGATGATAATCTGGTTTCCACTCCAGTCCAGTGTTCTCTTCTCTCGACTGTGCTTCCTCCAATCAGAGGAGGCAGATGATTAAGAGATTTAGGTTCTGTTTCTAGTGTTGCCATTAATTTGATGTGTGACCTTGGAGAATTATCTGACTTCTTGGACCTCAGTTTTGTCACTCATAAAATGAAGTTTTACACTCTAGACTTTTTCTTTAATCCCTCACACCCAGTGTCTTTCCATGCTCAGAACAGTTCCTAAGACACTGCAGAGAAATTCTAGGGCTCTTTTAAGGTCATTTGAGCTGGACCTTAAGAAGTACAGGCATGGTCTGGATAGACTGGTAGTGGGTAGGGAACAAGGTACTAGGAAAGGTAGAGTCAAGAATAGCAGGAGTGTATTTGGGGTAGATAGAGGAGAGCAGCTTGACTTGAGTAGAGGGGGCACAATGAATAAAGAAAGTAACAAAGGATGTTGCTTATGTTGAGACTCAAAATAGTCCTGAGCAACAGGTATGATGGGCTCTGATTCCTCGGAGAGAGGCTGTTTAGTACCTGACTTCCTTTAGTTACATTCCTTTACATTTTCTATTAAAGTTCTTTTTGCTACCCTCAGAGTAAATGATACACTGGGAAGTGGTGAAGGCCTAATGGTTAGGGGCAGCACTAGAAACACCAGGAGCTTTCTTTACAAAGAGCCTTGTGTTGTCCAACATCAGGACAAAAACAGGCTACCTATGATGCCTGTACTCCTTCACACAGGAGGACTGTGGCCAGGCATTCCTGTGAGGATGCAATTGACCAAAATAGGGCAGAAGAGTGAGAGGAATTCTCATTCCTCTTTCTTTTCATCTGTGGGACTCCTATGCCAACCAAACTATGGCTGGTAAATGTATGAGAGGAAAAAAAAACTTCTTCTGTACTTCTTATCTTGAAGTATCTTGTTTTAGGTCTTTTAAGTAAAAGCAAATGAAAGATTCCCATTTGGTTCCTGACTTCACTGGCAAACCTGTAGTCATGGTTTGCCATAGCTAAAACAATGTGCAGGGTGATGTTATAGTAAATTTAACATGCAGTTCTTGAGCAAGCTAAAAAATTATCTTTCCTAAGATATTTATTAAGAAAATGGAAACCACTTATAAGGAAATTGAGTTCCTAGGATAAACTCAGCCAGGTAGTGAGAAGAAAGATAACTCTTAAAAAACAAGTATTAGCTAATGAAGAAAAAAAGTATCCCTAGTCATCTATATGCTATTCAAAATGCTAATTTCCTTCTCTGTGTGTGGCTTATGAGCACATGCATAAATCAAGTAAGCGGACATTCACCATCTCTTACTACTCAAAGTTGCTCTGTGGTTCTAAAAATTGGGCCATGTTTGCTTTAATGGCACATGAAGCTGACTAAATATATACTGCTTTTTCTCTCCTTTGGGTTTTCCCAATTTTCCAGGGAAAACTTATTCATAAAATTTATTCCCAGCATTCCTACCTCAAGAATCCCTAACAGTTTTGTAAACATTCTAAATAAACACAATTATTTTGAATTTATTTATCTCTCTCATCATTTTTTGAGGACCTTTTTGGTGAGTTTTTCCCTAAGTATTAATAGGAAGTAAGTATTTCACTTATTTTTTTAATCTGTAAGAATGTAGATTCTTCAAATGAATCTTCTATATTTATGCTAGTCTACTTGATGCTTAAAAGTGTAAAAAAGATAGAAAGATACAGTCCTGGCCCTTTAGGGGAAAAGTAATTTTCTTCTAGGACAGCAATGAATGAGTGCAGGGTCATACTTTTATATATGAAGGGCAGCATATATGGGGTCTTTTCCATTAATAACAATAGCAACAGAACTGAAAGGGGTTCTACACCAGCAGGCACTTAAAAGTTCTCCTATGGTATAATGAGAAGTGTTAATACTTAAAGTATAAGAGGAACTTCTTAAAATAAGGGGATGGAAGCTTCATTAAAAAAAAAAATCTCTAATTGTAAGTCTGTGCTAACACCCTGGTGTACAATCTGTCAAAGTCACACCTGGATCCAGGGCTGCCTGAATTAATTAACAACTTTTCAATGTGTTAGTGCTAACATATGGCATTTAATTACTGCTTCCAAATCTGTGAGTCTCTCCACTTTGAATTTCAAAATTATTTCTTCATCTTCCAGTAAATCAGAAAGTGACTAGATAAAAACACCCTGTGATTCCTATTTTTAAAGGAGTATTTGCAGGTCTTCACCCTCCCCTGACAATATTTAGTTATCTTGACTCTTGCTAGCTCTAAACTCGACACACAAATACTGGAGGGTTTGGAGACCCTGAGAAAAAGAGACAGTGGTCTTAAATAGCATTTCTGGATTCTAGGCTTTAAGGACCCTTGACAAGTTGTGAGGTTGGAAGGTTAAAGCAGGATGGATGTATATGCCCTGTCTACAGAAGAAGAGCATGCCTTTTGCAACAAGAAGTATGACACAATAGTTAATACTGGCTCCAGTCACTGAGACCCAAGCACAGAAGCTGAGATAACCTCATGATTTTCTTACCACTCATTGCTAGATTAGCTTCAGCAACTACTTTTAAATCTCACACAGCTGGCACCACCTGCTGCACAGTAATAGAGGACTGAAAGCTGGATGATATACAGCATCATACATAAATGGCACATAGAATGGAAGAGTAACTATGCTTGTGCTGCATAATGCAAGTACCCCAAGTTCACACCTCCTCAAACGCTCATCCCATAACAACACTCATTTTTTATGAAATGGACAAATAAAAAAAGTTGGATTCTATTGACAATTAGGTTTTTCAATGTGTTCTTAACAGCCCCATCATTTATTGCTTTCCTAGGGTGAGATTTTTGATTTTTCTTTTGAACACCTGGTATAGTAGAAGCATGTGAGCAGGAAATAAAATGTGAGTTTGCATAAATGTGCTGGAGGTTGCAGCTTAAATCAGAGCCAATTGGAAGGTTAGACTATAAGAAGCCACAGAGATTTAGGAAGTCCACTTGTAGGATTTTTGAAGTACAGGGCTGATCTAAGAACAATTTAACACTTTTGGGCTCACCACACAGGTTCCCTTTACAGAATCTCTAAATGGATGAGGTCTTGAAAGGGTGACTGCTTTGTTAGAATTTATTTATTATTAATTGATCTGTGATTAGCAGTCCTTTCTTGCTCAGCAAATTCAAAGTTTCAGAAATCTGAGCACACAGATAATGAAGACAGTAACTGTCTAACTGTGATGAGTCCTTTGTGCTATTCATAGATGCCAGCAAACTCAATAAAAGTACAATTAGAGCTTGTTATACTTCTTTCAAAACTATAGGAGCTATTTAGAGCATCCAAATCAAAGAAATCTTTGTGCTCTTTGAATCTATGCTTACCTGTCAAAAATGCCATGTGGAATCAGAAATGGCTGCAGCTTTTATCACATACTTTAGAAAAGTATACATTTCTTTTGATTCTTAAATTAGATCCAAAGAGAACTGTGAAACCTGTTCATGTGTATGTAAGGTGAGGTTCCATTTAAGTCTCCATAAAGAAAAGCCCTTGAAATGTAGCTTTCAGTCCATTTACACCTTTTAGTTTTTCTTACTAGAAATCCAGAAAGTGAAGATCAATCTACAAAGCAAAGGGAGAACTGACCCTACTAGAAGATTCCAGGGGTTTTTCTTTTATGTACAGGTCTATACCTTTGTATGAACAGCCCAAGCCTGAGTGTGCCAACCTGTGCCACTTAGAATGCACCAAAACATTTCCCTCAGTTAGTGGAATTATGATATTAATTTAGCATAACTTAACATACTGTATATCTACTATGTGCCAGGTATTATGCTAAGCTCTTTACAGATATAAACTTATGTAACTGTCAAACAACCGTACAAGACAGGCATTATAAAATACCACACTATGGTAGTTCTCTCATAGAGCTGAACATGTTGAAGCTACACGAGGTTAAGTAACTTGTCCAAGGACACAACTAACAAGTGCAAGATAGGAGTCAAATCTGCATGTCTCAAAATAGTCTTAACTGCTATACCATGCTGCTTCCTGAAAAAAGGGTATTTTCAGGCACATTCTTATCATAGCAAGCCCAATTCTCCTTGTTTTTTGAGATAATGCAAAACTGGGGACACCTATCACAGAACTGTTGACATCTGTAGTTGTGGTTCTAGATCTAACTCAAACATTATCCTAAGTGTCCAGAGTAGAAACTGGACAGCAAGAGCAGCAAAACATGCAGAGAACACCTGGCAGCTTGTCTATGCAAAGGATTTCCATATCAGGGTGTGCATATGGCAGGAGAAACACAAAAGAAGAACCTGCTTCATATTTCAACTTCATATTTCAACTATTTGGGTATATCAGGTCACATGTTTTTAACTGGGTTCTCTAATTCATGTTCTTATAAATACAATCTAAGGCTCAGCTTTGAGACAAACATTTTTCCATAGACAGTCATTTCAGGGCCCTTGTCCTGACAGAAAATTATGGGGCTAAAGGACAAATAATGTCTCTTGATGGCCAGAAGACCTTCATTGACAGGATTTACCCCACAAACATAAGATTCATCTCTCCTGTTTGCCACTAAGGAATAGAACAAGACTATGAGTTGGCACTTCTGAAGCAAAAGACCTTGAGGAATCAGCATAGGAAACAGCCTTCTGCATGGCAAACATGCTCAGTGAAGAACGCTATAAAGCCAAGGAGAACCACTGGGTAAAAACAGTAACGAACACTTTACAGAAGTGCTATCTCATCTTCTTTTTCAAATTTATGGCTGCAAAGCCACTCCCTAGGAACATGTCTGGCACATAGTAAGTGATCAATGAGTAACTGTTGAATGAAGTAATGAAACAACTTGATCATGTTCTTAAAACAAAGCATTGGTGGATTTTACACTTCTGACACTAAATGCCCTGTTTATGATAAAGCAGCACAGGAAAAGACAATTCACATTATGAAAAGAACAGGGTTGCGAGATAATGGGTAAAGCATCAGTCTGTCCCATAGAGAAAAGCTCTGGCAGACCAAGTCTAGTAGTGCCATGTGACAACTTGGAATTTTCTTAAAAAATTTTCAGTCTCTGAAGCCATACAGAAAATGGGATGCACTACAATTAGCAAAAAATACCTTGTAGAGAGACTTAGAGTCCAATCATAATTTACATTTGCAGATATGTAGGTCTCTAAGTGCATGGCTTCTGCCCTGATTACTAATTAATGAGGTGCAAAACTGCCTGCTGGAAGGAAGCAGTGCTGATTACGTCAGTCTTATGGGACAGAGGAGCTCTGTGGTATAAGAAGGTAGAAGATCTTTTAACATATATTTCAGGAAATTAAAGAATAAAACAGGGACTGATAGTTCGTAGAAGTGGAAGCAAAAACTTAAGAGAGAAATGTGGGCTATCAACCCTCTAGTGCTTTGAAGAGGCAAATCCAGTTATTCATGGACTTTATCAAATGCATATTTTTGCAGAAAGTTTAGTACATTTATGTAATCAGAAGACTGAATTCTGATGCAAATGTATTGGTACAATCCAGAGAAGAGTACAATAAGACAAAGAGGAGCAAATAGAAAGGAAAAAAAAAAAGGGGTCTATTTTTTAAATGGGTAACTCCTTTCCCTTACCCATCAGGTGTCTGTGTGTTGTGTTTGAATAAATCAGTAAGAGCCAAGTGCACAGGGCCATCACACAGGGCAGGTCCTAACCATTCCTCATAATAGTCTCACAGATCTATGCACCAGAGGTAAATGAGATAGGACAGTAGAGTTTGCCCTTCTCTGGATATACTGACCATGGTGGAAGGCTCCTGAAGTAATGATCTCCCCCTGCCAGAGATAAACAAGAGCTGGGGCTGGCTCTTCCCTCCCCCACCTGGCTTAATTTACAGAAGCAGACATTATTGAATGAAACAGTTGGTTGCCACCTACCGTTTGACTTTTCACTATCTGCAGGTTTCATCTGAATGGGATGATGCATCTAAAAACACAAAAGTGAGAAAGTAAAGGCAGATTGAACAACTGTAAAACCAGACTCAGAAATCTGATACGATTCAATTCAAGTACTGCTATTGTTACAAGGGCACATAAGAAATAATATAAGGCTTCTCCAGGATAAATTACCTATGTTATAAAAAAACAAACCTGAGTTATGTTCTGGAATATTGCCCTTTTAAGTCAGGAAGCACTGAAACACAATACTTAAAAGCTTGGGCTATGGAGTCAGGCTTGAATTTAAAACCTGATTTTGCCATTCAATATAATTTCTGCCTCTATATTGTAGAAAATTCTGGTTCTGCTATTCATTACAGCTACATAATCTTGGGCTAGTGTCTTAACCTCTCTAGCTTTAATATTCTCTTCTGTGAGATGGAGATTACACCATAGAAGGGTGGTAAGAATTAAATGAGAAAATGTATATAAAGTGCTTCATATATAAGCAGAACCCAGGATGTGCTAAAAAATCAGCTGTTGTGATTACGTTATTTAAATGTAGATAGTCTTGTTTTTCTTCTGGCTGTTCTGTATGTCTGCTTTACACATTTCTCTCAGGTCTCATAAGTAATTTGAAGGTCAAACAGTTGATTCTGAGTCAGTATATAATTTTTATTAAATGCTAAGTATAGAACAGGAATGAGAGCCATTGGAAGAATGGAGGGAAGGAAACAAGGAAAAGAGGGAGAGTTAGGAGGGAGACATAGAACTTAAGATCAGCATTAGTACGTATGCAGGAACTGAATGAAGTTGAAACAAATGGGGCTGACATTCAGGCAGACCTGATGCTCCATGGCTGTTTATACAATGCTGACCACACCACTGTGTACAATCCACAGAGTTTAGTCCAAGACAGAATGCTACCACCATCTGCTATTAAAATAAATTCCTGTAACTACTTTGAAAGGTCCTCTAGCTTCATATTTCATCATACTCCAAGGAACACAGAAGCTACAGGGTGGATGGAATCACTGGCTGTGCAAATGCTTTTATTATAATGGGTCCCTTTCTCTGTGAACCTTTAATTTCCCCAGTGGACTTCCATCACTTGCAAGTCACAGCTCTGGGTTTTATCTAATTTAAATTAAAGGAAAATGGTACTTGGCTCTGACACTTATGTGATGGGAAATTATTATCAGGCTGCCCATGTGCACCTAATGTCTGCCAGAGTTTTAGAACACAGAGGAAAAAAGAAAGAGGGAGGACTGTCAAGGGATAAGAGGTTAAATAATTCAGAGCTGCTTCACATCCCCTAAAAGGCAAGATGTTCTTATGCATAGAACACAGGCCTTGAGATGTGGGGTCTAGTGGTATTCCAGTTCATTAACTCACGTATTTCACTTGTGGAGCAGAGACCACAATGAGACGGCAATGTTTAGGGTCTTTTCAGAAAAAAAGGGAATATATATCTTAAAAAATGGGCAGAAGTAAATTGTGGAAAACTTTGATTTAGGCTGAGGAATGTAGAAAAAACAAAAGAAAATGTTTTGGGAAGACCAACAGTCTTTGAGTAAGCTAGTCTTCCAGGATGCATCTGTCCACTCAATCAGCAAACATGGAAGAAATAGCCACTGTGTGTCAGGCTAAAAACCTGGGAATAAAGATGAAGTGCTCACTGTGTTGAGGAGGAAACACTGCTGCAAACAGCTAGCTGAGCAACATGCCCAGTGATGGAGGAGAGGCAAGGCAAAATTTCTGGGAGTCCAAGGGTGCAGGCACTTCACTGTGTCTGGCAAAGAAAGTAAAGATTGAGCCAGGCATGGTGGCATATGTCTATAATCCCAACTACTCGGGAGGCAGAGGCAGGAGGATACAGAGTTCAAGGCCAGACTGGAAAAAGTTAGCAAGATCCTACCTAAAAAAATCAAATAAAAACAAAGGGGCAAGGGGTGTGGCTCAAGAGGTAGTGCACTGGCGTAGCATGTGCAAGGCCCTGGTTTACATTCCCAGTACTGAACAAAACAAAACAAAAGGAAACAAAACAAAGAAAGAAAGAAACAAGCAAAGAAGCAAAGAAGGTGAAGGTTTCCTAACAAGCATGGTATCCAGGGATGGCCCCAGAGGTAAGAGTGAACACAATTCCTTTCTGTAAGGAGTTAATTGTGCAATGTGAGTGAGGAAAATGATGAGAAAGGGCTGCAAAGGTGGTCAGCATGCCCATCTGAGAGGATCTTGCGAGCTAAGAGATTATTTTTTAGCAAGTTCACTGACAGGTATAGATGATTTAAGTTGAAAAGGCAACGAGATGATATTTGAGGTATAGAAATGTCATTTTTGGCTACAGCATGGAGGATGGACTATAGAAGAGTCAGGAGTCAGGGAGTACAGTTAAGAGGTGACTGCAAATAACCCAGGTGACACTGAGGAACATTTAAACTTCAGTGCTAACTGATGGAACGTGGGGACGAGGCAAGAGAACTCCAACCCTGGATGACTAGAAGGATTGTGAAATCAGAAGAGGCTAAGGAGCACATGCTAACCTTGATGTGACTGTGAGTAGACAGAAGCTGGAAATGTGGGGCTCAAGTGTGAGAGAGGGGCCAGGGCTCTATAGACTACAGTGGGAGGTGACAGTGGGAACCACAGGTATCAGTGAAGCTGCAGGGGGGAAGGGGGACTTTCAGTGAAAAGGGCCAAGAACAGAACTGTAGAGAACATCAGGAAATAGTCATCTAAGGAGCACAGAGGAAAGGGAAGTCAAAGGGGTACAAAAAGTAGGAGCCGTGGATTCCCTATAAGCTATTACAGGGAAGGGTCAAGAAGGGCTCACACCTGTAATCCTAGCTACTTGGGAGGTAGAGATCAGGAGGATCATAGTTTAAGGCAAGCCTAAGGAAAAAGTAAGTGAAGCCTAGGCAAAAAGTTAGTGAAACCCCATCTCAATAAAAAGTCTGGGCATGGTGCCATGTACCTGTTCTGTTATCCTAGCTATGTGGGAGGTGTAGGTAGGAAGGTTGTGGTCCAAGGCTGGCCTTGGGCAAAATTGTGAGTTATTTTTCAGTCCTATCTGAAAAATAAAAGTGTGAGGCCTTGAGTTCAATCCCCAGTACCAAAAAAAAAAGGGGGGGGTGTGTGGTCAGAGCAGGTGCTACTAGTCTATGATGAAAATGCCAATGCCAACATATCATCTGGAATTTGGAAACAAAAATTTCTTTAGGGAATTTATTAAAAGCAGTTTTTGTAGAGTAGCAGTAGGGCAAGAACTCCAGATTTTTGGGAGTGGAGGGGAGAACACTCCCGAAATAAATGAAGATGGTAGGTATGATAAATGAAGACCACTTGAGAAAACTTGTGAAGTGGGTAAGATCAGAAGCTTGACAGAAGATGGGAGCAGAGACTGACCCCAATAACTTCAAAACCAATGAAATAATTGGTGGGGGGCCAATGCAAAATGAAAGTGAGGGGTTTCTTGACAAAAAATAAGACTTTCAAGATGACAAGAGCAGGGCACTGAATCAAGTCACTTGGTGATGTTCAACTGGTGGGAAGTGGCATCTTTCCTTTCAAGATAGGAGAGACTTACATGGGTTAATATACTGAAGAGAGTCAGATGACATAAACAGGTTAAACATATAGGAGAGTAGACATACGTGCAATCATCATTACGTATGGGACACAGAACATAGCTCTTGCCCTCAGGCAGCTTACAGTCCATCATGGTGGTTAATGTGCATATACTTATCAAAAGAGAACATTCAGATTTATCTGTTAAGTGTATGGAGGACTAGAGGAGGAAATCTTGGGGTTACAAGGGGAGCATCATTCTACTTTGCAGTTATAAAGGATCCTGGAAATCATACAGTTCAGTGCTCTCCATTTACAGGTCTGAAGGGAATAAGCAACTTCACTAAGGACACACAGCTGGTTAATGACAGAGCTGGAATGAGAAATTTAATCTCCCTACTCTAGACCACATCTCCCCTAGACTACATTACTTCTCCACAAAATGTCCAACATGGGACATATGGGCCTTCGGTTAAGAAATGCAGGTTTCACTCACTAAAGAAGCCAAATACTCATTGGAAGGGGCCTGCAATATCCCCTTATGTGAAAGTAATCGTTCCTTCCTCTAATGTCCTCTCACACTTTATCTCTGCAGCCTTATGACTAGTATTACAGTAAGACTTCACTCTTCGTTTTCTTACAACCACTCAATTTCTGACCTAGGCCTATCCCAGGGCTCCATGAAGTCACAGCAGTAATAATAAAGCAGCTACTGCCACTACACTTGAACTTCCATTTTGGTCTTCACTGGGCCTAGAGGGAGGAAAATCCATTTCATGGAAATGTGTATTGTCAGACCATAGTAACTGAGTAGATGGTCACCCTACTGCAAGTACGTTCTGAAACCAAGTCAGAAAATGTATGTAAAAGCACCGTGACCTTCTCTGACAGCAGTGTTCAATGGGTACTGCGCTAACAATGGCTCGTTATCATGGATGTTGTTCAGCTGAGTTAGATTTCTGATGACAGACGGTGTGCGAATGTGAAGACAACATGGGGCAGTCACTTTGATAATGTTGCTTCTCTTCCTCAAAATCTCATGATTCCAAGAACTTTGGAAGAGCTCTTGAGTGGAGCAGGAAACTACTGCAAAACTATAAAGTTTCAGGTCATGATAAAGGGCTTCTCTCCTGCAGCAGAAAGTGTTTCAAAGATGTGGATGGGACCGGGACCTCATCCACTTGTTTCTGCTTTTACCAGACACTGTCACATGCTGGAAGGGCCAGGAGAAAGAGTTCTCACCATGCGATGCAGCTTGTGGTGTGTAGCAGAGCCAGCTCTGTCAATCATTTTCCAGAGTACAGTGTTTACTATGTACAGTATGCAGTGTGGGACTCACAGAAGATAGGCCTAACACAGAGTAAGGAAAGACAAACTGGAGAAGGTAATTCAGTCGAATCAATGTTTGAGTTCCTTCTTAAAGAAATCTTCATGTTAGCCAGGAACATGAAGAGCACTGCAGGGAAGAGAACATGTTCAAAG